TACCAATCTTAATCATTATTTAGACGTAAAATCATAAAAACTCCAACAAATCCCCAACAGCTAACAAAAGTAGAATACAAACTTGATATATAAAAGATAAAAAAGAGATGCCTTAGATCTAGCTTGCGTGAATGGTAAGGTAAACATCTTAGACCCAGGTTGCGTAAAAGATAAGGCAAACATCTTAGTCCCAGGTTACGTAAAAGATAAGGTAAACATCGTAGATCCAAACTGCGTAAAAGATAAGGTAACATCTTAGATCCAAGTTACGTAAAAGATAAGGTAAACATCTTAGATCCAAGTTACGTAAAAGTGAACACGGCGACTTTCTCTGGCGTTTGGTCGAGGTATATAATTTATGTGTCGCGGATGTTATAAATATACCTCGACCGCCTAATAGTTTATGTGTCGCGGATGTTATAAATATACCTCGGCCACCTAATAATTTCCCCCTCATGACACTTTATGAATCTAAAGTGCCAGTATAACTCATGGCGCCTAGACGAATAATCTCCACCCACCCGTCACTACCAATTTCCCGCCTAATCGTGCAAAATTTCGCGCCAACGGTGACTAAAGTTTTTTTTTATTCGCCAATGGGTAACAGTTTCCCGCCAATAGTCAACAGTTTCTCGCCAACGGTCTTCAGTTTCTCGCCAACAGTTAACAGTTTCTCGCCAATGGTCAACAGTTTTTCGCCAATAGTCAACAGTTTCTCGCCAACGGTCTTCAGTTTCTCGCCAACAGTTAACAGTTTCTCGCCAATGGTCAACAGTTTCTCGCCAATGGTCAACAGTTTCTCGCCAACGGTCTTCAGTTTCTCGCCAACGGTCTTCAGTTTCTCGCCAACAGTTAACAGTTTCCCGCCAATAGTCAACAGTTTCTCGCCAACGGTCAACAGTTTCCCGCCAACGGTCACCAAAACACAATACAGCCAACAAATCATGTAATTAGCGATGAGGGGTAATTGTAGATATATCAATAGGTAGAAATGTAGACAGGAGGCGGCAGTAGTGGACAGTAGACAGAGACTTGGGTTGAATGGGTGAAATTAGAAGCTGTGGTTCCTGGACAGATACAACAGATGGGAGGATTGGTGAAGACAGAGCCGAAAATGTTGGGAGATGTGGTCGCCAACCCTCAAACATGAAGCTGGCGCCTTAATTTATTATTATTATTATTATTATTATTATTATTATTATTATTATTATTATTATTATTATCATCATCATCATCCCCGCACTTACAAACGCAGGTAAACAAGTGACGTCACACCCTGGGAGGTCTTCTAGCAACATCTGGTAATGACCCTCCCATTATTTTTTTTGTTTACTCTGATATATTATTGCCTGTGACTGTGGGGATACATAAATCATCTTGAAAAACAGGTCAAATTTGGGTTTATATTCAGATTTTTACCTTAAATGTCAAATATTATTGTTGGTTTTAATGTAAGTGCCTTAACTAGCAGGTTTATTAAGCACTTTTCACTTGGCTTATATACTTAACAACATCCAATTTATAAATATAGCTTAAATCATTTTTTTCCCAGGGGAGTAGACGTAAATAAACAACTAAGTGTATAAAACATAAGATGGATGGCAGGGAACATATTGCTCTCTCTTATAAATGGCTGTAGCCTCACACTGTGTTCATCCTCTGGTAAAACACCATCACGCCCACAACACGTCACCCCTCACAACCTCCCTTCTTCACCACCTCACCTCCTCACAACCTCACCTCCTCACAACCTCACCTCCTCACCACCTCACCTCCTCACAACCTCACCTCCTCACCTCCTCACCACCTCACCTCCTCACAACCTCACCTCCTCACAACCTCACCACCTCACAACCTCAAAAACCCTCACCACCTCACAACCTCCACCTCCTCACAACCTCACCTCCTGCCCTCACCACCTCAAAAACCTCACAACCTCACCTCCTCACAACCTCACCTCCTCACAACCTCACCACCTCACTTCCTCACCACCTCACAACCCTCAATATCCTTCATTAAGTAACCTGTCAGAGTGGGTCCTACAAGCCTGGCGACCCTTCAGGAGCAGGTAGGATACAGGACTCAATAGGGTGGCCGGCATTACACTCGATCACCTTCACCTCCCCAACAGTACAGTTAGGTAAATATTCATAGTTGGGTGAGGTGTGGGTCCCCTGGGCTCGATCCAGTGACCCCGAGGACAGGAGGCGAGTGTTGTATCCACTCTGTTGTCGCACCTCATTAGTCTACTTAATAGTCCTCACTCCTTCCACCACCACCACTGTTATCACCATCACCGACACTAGACCGAACACCTCCATCACAACCACCATCACCATCCCTACACCACTATCATCCCTACACTACCACCATCACCCCCTCCATCACAACCACCATCCCTACACCATCACCATCCCTACACCACTATCATCCCTACACCACCACTATCACCCCTTACACCACAACCACCATCCCTACACCACTACTATCACCCCTTACACCACCCCCACCAAACCCGTACATCAAACCAGTTAGTTAACAAAGCCCTAACTCACCCAGCCTGACATAAGCGAACACAGGTCCCCCTCACCCCTCCCCCCCCACCATGAGAGTCGAAGAATTGATTAAAAGCTTCAGTGTTTAGCGAAAATTGCTTGTCAAGGGTGAGGTCATTTGTATATGTCGCGGCGGCCCGGGTTGGTAACATGGTCGAGGGGGAGCATTAGTAATAGTGAGATTTACGACCCTAGTGCAGTAGTGTTCAACTTACACCCCCCCTCCCCCTCCCCCTCCTTCCCTTACCCCTCTCCTTCTCTCCCCCGTGGCTCCTGGCCCTCATACTCTGGGGGAGGGGGAGAGGAGGGAGGTGTGCAGGAAGGTGATAGGGAGGAAAGAAAGAAGTGTGAGACGGAGGGAGGGGCGAAGGAGGGGAGGAAGAGGAGGGAGAGGAAGGGGAAGGGTGAGGGAGGAAGGAAGGAGAGAGAGGGTTGGGGAAGGTGAGGAGGGATGGGGTATGGGAAAAATCCATGGGAAAGGAGAGAGGGGAGAAAGGGGAAAGGAGGAGGGAATCTGGAAAGGAAGGTGAGGAAGGGAGCGGGGGAGGAGGGTGAAAGGGAGGGAGGAGAAAAATGTAGGGAGGGGGGAATGGCGGGGAGGAGGGTGAGAGGAAGGTGATAAAGAGGGAAGAGGAAGCTGAGAGAGAGTGGAAGAGGAGAAGAAGGTGGAAGGGAAGGAAGGAAGCTAGGGAAGAGGAATGTGAGAGGAAAAGAGGGATAAACGAAGGTGAGACAGAGGGAGAGAGAGGGTGGAGAGGGGGGTTGAGAGAGGGAGAGAGAGGGGCCACCACCACTCAATAATGTATCACCCGCCTCTGAGAAATAATGACGACGATCTACTTTTATTTTCTCATACTAACTCGAGTCTTTTGTTTATTGTGAGAGATTTTGTTTTTTCTTTTGTTGTCTTTTGAGGTTTTTTTTATTCCAAACGTTCATGACACATATAGATCATTATTAAACGTTCATGACACATATAGATCATTATTTAACGTTCATGACACATATAGATCATTATTAAACGTTCATGACACATATAGATCATTATTAAACGTTCATGACACATATAGATCATTATTAAACGTTCATGACACATATAGATCATTATTAAACGTTCATGACACATACAGATCTGCCTCGACATTCGCACAACCCACCTTCAGATCATTATTAAACTGTTCATGTACACAGATCAAATATTAAACGTTCATGACACATATAGATCATTATTAAACGTTCACTGACACATATGATCATTATTAAACGTTCATGACTATATAGATCGACCTTTAACATTCATGACACATACTGGAGTCATTATTAAACGTTCATGACACATATAGATCATTATTAAACGTTCTTGACATATAGATCATTATTTAACGTTCATGACACATATAGATCATTATTAAACGTTCAGCACATATAGATCATTATTAAACGTTCATGACACATAGATCATTATTAAACGTTCATGACACATATAGATCATTATTAAACGTTCATGACACATAACAGATCATTATTAAACGTTCATGACACATATAGATCACTATTAAATGTTCATGATCAATTGATAGAAAGAAAGATAGATAGATAGATGAATAGATAGATAGATAGATTGATAGATAGATAGCAAAGCCTTTAAAAACAGTGGCTCTCTTGGCACTGTCTGGCACCATCTACTTGAGGGTCATGCAGGTAAAGGGGAAGAGATTTCAGATTTTATTATATTTTCTCTCAGATTTTATTATTTGTCTCAGATTTTATTATATTTTGTCTCAGATTATATTATATTTTGTCTCAGATTGTATTATATTTTGTCTCAGATTGTATTATTTCCAATTTATTATTGCCAGAATAATACAAATTATTAATTATTGTCTCATATTTTATTTTATATACACACAAAACGAACCGGAAGGACAGACAGACAGACAAACAAACAAACAAAACAAACACACAAACACACACACACACACACACACACACACACACAAACACACACACACAAAACGAACAGACAGACAGACAGACAAAACGGATCAGAAAAAAACGAAAATCACTCTCGAAAATTGTGGGCGAAAATAGGAGAAATCTTGCCGGTTCTGGACTGGGCTAAAATAGGTCGTTTCATTCTGATATTAAATGGAAAAACTCTGGAAGGTCATCATATATGCATGAATGTCTGATGACGTCAAAACTGTTATGAGAGGGAGAGAGAGAGAAGAGAGAGAGAGTAAGTTAAGAAAGCAGGTATGGGAATTGGAAGAGGCAGGTAGGTAGGGGAGTAGGTAAGGGTAAGGGTAAGGGGTACAAGGGGGATATTAGGGAGCAAAAACTAGGGGTAAGGGGTAAAGGAGTATAAAAGGGAGGTGTTAAGGGGTACAAAGGGGTAGTTAAAGGGGGAGGTAAGAGTAAGGGGTTATAGGGGGGTATATGGGAATGAGGTAAGGGGGTGGGGGATTAGGGAGGTATGGGGATAAGGCTAGCGGGATTAGGTAAGGAATAAGAGGAATGAGGTAAGAGGGGGTTGTAAGGGGAGGGGTAAGGGCAGATGATAGGCACTAATGGTTCCTGCAGCATCATAAGCGGCCCTCTCACCCCAGTAGTCTTCATCTCATTACTTCTGTTCACCCTCCTTCCACTCCCTACCAATCCTCCCTAATTCCCAGTATTTTCCCCACCATCCCCCAACATGCTAGAGCCCTAAAAACGACCCCCAAAACAAGAATCAGGGCCTCTCAGACGCATCAAGATTGAACCTCTAGTGCGAAAAAAGGACAAACCCGAGCGGAAACGTCATTTTGGGAAAGGTGCGAAAGTAAGTGGGAGTTCCGCTAGAACGCCTCGACTGATTGAATTCAGCAAATTCCAGAAGATTCCAGAAGATTCCAGAGGCCGTCAGTGGCGTGATCAGAAGCAGGAATCATTATCATTGTTTGGAATTCATTTTCAGAGGAAGGCAGTTGGTCAGTATTCCTAAGGGGGAGGGAGGGGTGGGGTGGGTGTAGGAGAGGAGGTGTGAGGGTGGGAGGGCTGAGAGGGGGAGTAGGGTGGGGTAAGGAGGAAGGGGAGTTGAGGAGGGGAGGGTGGGTAAGGGAGGTGTGTGAGGGTGAGGAGGGTAAGGGGGGGGGAGAGGTGGGTAAGGGAGGTGTGTGTGAGTGGTGAGGGTGGAATAGGTGGGGTAAGGAGGTGAGTGGTGAGGGGGAATAGGGTGGGTAAGGGAGGTGGAGTGGTGAGGGGTGGAATAGGGTGGGTAAGGGAGGTGTGTGAGTGGGTGAGGGTGGAATAGGGGTGGGTAAGGAGGTGTGGAGTGGTGAGGGTGGAATAGGGTGGGGTAAGGGAGGTGTGTGGAGGGTGAGGGTGGAATAGTGTGGGTAAGGAGGTGTGTGGAGTGGTGAGGGTGAATAGGGTGGGTAAGGGAGGTGTGTGAGTGGTGGAGGGTGGAATAGTGTGGGGGAGAGGTGTGGAGTGGTGAGGAGTGGTAAGGGGGGGAGAAGTGTAAGGGAGGTGTGTGGGAGGGGAGAGAGGGGGTGGGAGAGGGGTGTGGGGGTGGGGTAAGGGGAGGTGTGTGAGGGAGGGGAGGGGGAGGGTGGGTAAGGGAGGGTGTGTGGAGGTGGTGGAGGTGAGTAGGGGTGGGGTAAGGGAGGTGTGTGAGTGGTGAGGAGGGGGAGAGGGGTGGGTAAGGGAGGTGTGTGAGTGGTGAGGGGTGAGGGTGGTAAGGGAGGTGTGTGAGTGGTGAGGGGTGAGTAGGGTGGGTAAGGGAGGTGGGAGTGGTGAGTGGGGGTGAGGGGTGGGGTAAGGGAGGTGTGAGTGGTGAGTGGAAGAGGGAGTGGGTGGGATGGGTAGGGGACTTGGGTTAGTGTGGATGTGGGGGTGATAGGAAGGAGAGAGAGAGAGAGAGAGAGAGAGAGAGAGAGAGAGGAGAGAGAGAGAGAGAGAGAGAGAGAGAGTAGAGACAAAGAGAGAGAGAGAGAGAGAGTAGAGACAAAGAGAGAGAGGGGAGATGAAGACTGGAAGGTGACAGGATATGAGGGGATCAGAGAGAGAAATTACTCACAGAGGGGAAGAGATAGTCCAGAGAGACAGGGAGAGATGATGACTTGAGAGAGACACGTGTTGGGAGATAATGAGAGACACTGACTTCAGAGATAGAGGGAGAGATACTGACTTCAGAGACAGAGAGATAATTAGAGATACTGACTTTAAAGACACATATAGAGATAATTAATGAGAAATAGTTGAGAGATACAGGGAAAGGTACGGTCATGAGAGACACACGATATGATTAGAGAGAGAGAGACACTAGTTCGAGAGACATGTGTAGAGACATTGAGAGACATTGAGAGACAGTGTATGAGTGTATGACAGTGTATGAGTGTATGACAGTGTATGAGTGTATGACAGTGTATGAGTGTATGACAGTGTATGAGTGTATGGCAGGTATGAGTATGACAGTGTATGAGTGTATGACAGTGTATGAGTGTAGGACAGGTATGAGTGTATGACAGACAGTGTAAGAGTGTATGTGACAGTGTATGAGTGTATGACAGTGTATGAGTGTATGACAGTGTATGAGTGTATGGCAGTGTATGGTGTATGACAGTGTATGGTGTATGAGATGTATGGTGTATGGTGTATGAGTGTATGACAGTGTGGTGTGACGGTGTATGAGTGTATGGCAGTGTATGGTGTATGACAGTGTGTGTGTGTGTGGTGTGGTGTATGACAGTGTATGAGTGTGTAGCAGTGTATGAGTGTGTGACAGTGTATGGAGCAGTGTATGACAGTGTATGAGTGTATGACAGTGTATGGAGTGTATGACAGTGTATGAGTGTATGGCAGTGTGTAGGGTGTGACAGAGGTATGGTGTATGACAGTGTATGTGATGTATGGAGTGTATGACGGTGTGTGACAGTGTATGAGTGTAATCAGTGTATGAGTGTATGACAGAGTATGGTGTATGGCAGTGTATGAGTGTATGCAGTGTATGACAGTGTATGAGTGTGTATGGGTGTATGGTGTGATGAGTGTATGAGTGTATGGAAGTGTATGAGTGTATGACAGTGTATGAGTGTGGAGTGTATGGTGTATGACGGTGTATCAGTGTATGAGTTAGGGTGTATGGAAGTGTGGGTGTGTATTGGTGTATGGTGTACAGTGTGTGGTATGTGAGTGTATGACAGTGTATGAGTGTATGCAGTGTATGAGTGTATGACAGTGTATGGGTAATGACAGTGTATGAGTGTATGACAGTGTATGAGTGTATGACAGTGTATGAATGAGTGTATGACAGTGTATGGCAGTATGACAGTGTATGAGTGTATGGCAGTGTGTAGGTGTATGACAGTGTGAGTGTATGGCAGTGTATGAGTGTATGGGAGTGTATGAGTGTATGACAGTGTATGAGTGTATGACAGTGTATGGTGTGTGACAGTGTATATGGTGTATGGGTGTGTGGGTGTGTGACAGTGTGGGAGTGTATGGCAGTGCATGAGTGTATGACAGTGTATGAGTGTATGACAGTGTGGAGTGTATGGAAATGTATGACGGTATGTGAGTGTATGGCAGTGTATGGAGTGTATGACAGTGTATGGAGTGTGACAGTGTGAGTGTATGGCAGTGTATGAGTGTATGACAGTGTATGAGTGTATGAGAAGGTTATACATGGGAGGAGAGGAGGGCCAGGGTGAATCATATACATTGAATAAACCAAATATAATCATACATTCACAGATCTGTGATGTATGAGAGGCAGGAGGAGAGGAGAGGGGTGAGAGAGGAAGGTCTTGAGGGACTGGTGAGGAGAGTGAGGGGTGTGTGGGGAGGGGGAAGTTTGGCAGGTGAGTCAGGGGGAGTGAGGAAGGAAGGGGAGAGGAGGAAGGGGTTTGGGGAGAGAGGAGGGGGGAGAGGGAGGGAGAGGGTAGGGGAGGGAAGGGGGAAAACTGGCAAATCGTAAACATTGAACGAACCAAAGGGGAAATCATCGCTTCGCCAGACGAATTCCAGATCACTGAAGCCAAGGATGATTGGAGAGGTGATAATCTCTCAGGATTGGATGATTGGAGAGGTGATAATCTCTCAGGATTGGATGATTGGAGGTGATAATCTCTCGGTTGGATGATTGGAAGTGATAATCTCCAGGATTGGATGATTGGAGGTGATAATCTCTCAGGTTTGGATGATTGGAGGTGATAATCTCTCAGGATTGGATGATTGGAGAAGTATATCTCTAGGATTGGATGATTGGAGAGGTGATAATCTCAGAAGTTGGATGATTGGGTAATAATCTCAGGATTGGATGATTGGAAGTTGGAATTTCAGAAGTTGGATGATTGGGTGATAATCTCTCAGTTGGATGATTGGAGAGGTGATAACTCTCTGGATTGGGTGATTAGAGGTTGATAATCTCTCTGGATTGGAGTGATTGAGTAATCTCTCAGTTGGATGATTAGAGGTGATAATCTCTCAGGAATGGATGTGGAGAGGTGATAATCTCAGGATTGGATGATTGGAGGTGTAATCTCAGTTGGATGATTAGAGGTAATAATCTCTCAGGTTTGGATGATTGGAGGTGATAATCTCTCAGAATTGGATGATTGGAGAGGTAATAATCTCTTGGATTGGATGATTGGAGAGGTGATAATCTCAGGATTGGGTGATTGGAGGTGATAATCTGGATTGGGTGATTAGAGGTTGATAATCTCTGGATTGGGTGATTAGGTGATAATCTCTCTGGTTGGATGATTGGAGGTGTATCTCTGGATTGGATGATTGGGTTGATAATCTCTGGATTGGATGATTGGAGGTAATAATCTCTCAGGATTGGATGATTGGAGGTGATAATCTCTCTGGATTGGATGATTAGGTAATAATCTCTGGATTGGGTGATTGGAGGTGATAATCTCAGGATTGGATATTGGAGAGGTGATAATTTCTCTGGATTGGATGATTGGAGAGGTGATAATCTCTCAAGTTGGATGATTGGAGAGGTGATAATCTCTGGATTGGATGATTGGAGAGGTGGTAATCTCTCTCTGGTTGGATGATTGGAGGTGATAATTTCTCTGGATTGGATGATTGGAGAGATGATAATCTCTCTGGATTAGATGATTAGGTGATAATCTCTCTGGATTGGGTGATTGGAGAGGTGATAATCTCTGAGGACTGGATGACAGGTGTGCTACTTCCTCACTACGGATTGGATGATTGGACTGTTATAATCTTGTATGTTTATTGGACAGGATTGGTTCTCTGGCATCATCCACGGATTATGAGCGATTATCTAACCTAATCTACGTCAGTTCTAATCACCAACGACAATGAGAGGATACATTGTCCGTACTTTTGTCTCACCACGTACGTACAAACTACGGACAAATATAACCAAATATTTAGATAAGAAATCAAAGTAAAATTAATGTCCCCCCAAAAAAAAAAAAAACAACAACAACAACTGCACTTCGGGGAAAAAATATAAACTTTTGGGGGAAAATATTGACTTTGGGGAAAAAATATGAACTAGTGAGAATAATTTGTTCATCCCCCCCACCACCCCACCCCATTAAACGTGAACACTGGCGACAAAATCTGAAAATTCTGAAAAAAAAAACATATTTGCAAAAACAAACAAACAACAACAAGTAAACAAACATTAGTCCAAAAGTATAAACAATTACTAAAAACAAATAAACAAATAAATAAATAAATAAATAAATAAATAAAATTGGTCTGCCCAAATATAAATCTATTTCAAGTTTCGAAACAATGAAATGTAAACGGTCCTATAGTCTTTATAACGGACTATTTGGAGATGAAGTCCGTTATATCGAGGTTCTTTAGATGTGAAACCTCCATCTAACGAACTGTATAAATAAAAGTCCGTTATATCGAAGGTCCGTTAGATGCAACACCCTCATCTAACGGACTATATAGAGATATAATTCCGCAATATGAAGGTTTCACATAT